GGTTGACTAATATTTTAGCTAAGATCTGGGACTTAGACGTTATTCCATCTGACTAGTCACAATCACTTATCGTCCCAATGTATACTAATCAGTTGCACCAACTAAAATGGGTGGGCACGGTTCAAACCTGAAACTTAGTGACTGAAAGTTGAACGTCTTAATCACCACGCCATCATTTTACACACTATAAAGTACATCGAGATGAGCACTACAATTTCGTTCCAATGTAAGTCTGGTTGGGATTGGTGTAAATAACCACCTTAAATGCTAGTCTCAAAACAAACACAGAAGCTGAGACACCCATATTTTAATTGTGATGTAAACGGAAACTGAACAAATAGTATAGAAGGGTTAAAATAATACTGACTCCTTGCAATAATAGCTCCCAGACCCATGGAACTATAGACCCACACTTACAGGGTGATTTTGAAAAATATTAAGGCGAAACAAAAAGACTTCCCTGAACTAAGATTTTTCTGAATAGATTGAGACAATCATTGGTGTATGGTTAGGATCCTAACGCAAAATATATTTGTTCATGGTTAATTTCTATGGACAATCGTGTTCCAACATGAGAACATTTATGGTTTTAGGACACGTTTTACAGGTCCTGGTAGGATGCCCCCAAATGCCCTGGTACGGCCGAGAGTGGAGAGAGTCCTCCCTCCCTCTCGAAATGCTCTCACATGGCCACGCGTATATAGCCTCTGCCAGGGAAGTCCTACTCACTGCCTTCTCGTGGCAATTCTGTTGTTTACGAAATTGAGAGGACGAAAAGCGAACGTCCGGCGCTTTAACCGGGTTGGTGGACATGGAGCGTACACCTATTTATTTATTTATTTGAACACATAAATATTGGTACAAGAGAGTGCCAATATATATACGCCACACAAAACAATGAGAATTTAAAGAGAAGGAAAAATAAAAATGGTAAGGAGCGTAAAAAAAATAGAACAATAACGAAGAGATTGGATTAAGGTAGTGTAATAATAGTAATAATAATAGTAATAATGGGGGAACGAAAAGGTACAATCAGAACAAATATTTCAGGTAAGGAAGACACAACCACTTTTATGAAGAAAGTAAAAGAAGGTTACAACAGGATCGCCACTGGATTCTATTCTGAGCTATATCTGATAACGTCTCTAGCCACTGTGTAGCACCATCTCTCGGACCCCAACCAGGGAGTCGTGAAGGACCAACACAAGCCAGTCATTTGCAGCTTTCTTTCATGCCACGACACCATGTCATGCACTGACCACCTCTCCGCTTCTTCCAACCAGTCCCAGAGTCGGCAAATAATGCACGACGTGGAATTCTCTGGGATGACATTCGGAGAACATGTCCAAGCCACCGAAGTCGGTGTTTCAAGATGGTGACACCAATTGAATTATCATCTCTGTGCTCGAACACACGATGTCGAACCTCTGCATTACTAACATGCTACACCTATGGGAGTTGGAAAATCCTGATTCCAAACCGATTGTGCACATGGGCTCCAGTATCCTAACGGAACAAATGGTGTATGAACCAATTATTGGCCACCAGCTACCATGGGACTGCATCTCCTTATGTTGCTTCACTGCCTCCTGGATCAGGCCTTCAGGTCGAAGGCTCCTGATGTGGCCACCTAAGAAAACCACCCGGGTAGTATCACATAACATTCTCGTCTACTGAATTCTCGGGTATTGATCTCCTTCCAGGAGGTCCACTTACCGACTTAGAATACGCGGATGACATAGTCCTGTTTGGTGAAGACGCTGATAAAATACAGAGTCTTTTGGTAGCACTGAGCAACAATGCCAGAATGTTTGGAATGCGCTTCTTCCCCTCTAATGGCAAGTTGTTGCTTCAGGATTGGTCTGCGTCAACACCTGAACTAAGGATAGGGAGTGAAGTAGTCGAACGCGTTGACAACTTCACTTATCTTGGAAGTCTGATCAGCTCTAATGGGTTGGTGTCTGACGAAATCTCAGCACGGATTCGAAAAGCTCGCTTGGCTTTTGCCAACTTACGTCACCTATGCTACATCACCTATACTGCGCGGCAGTCCGTTCTGTTTTAATTTACGGCAGCGAAACATGGCCATTAAGAGTAGAAGACACTAGTAAGCTACTAGTATTTGACCACAGATGCCTCAGAAATATTGCTGGCGTCTGCTGGGATCACCGGGTAAGTAATAGTGAGGTTCGACACAGGGTATTAGGGAATAATGGTAAATCAGTTGATGAGGTTGTGAATCTTCATCGACTGAGATGGTTGGGCCACGTGTTACGTATGCCCGAACACCGATTACCACGACGTGCAATGCTAACCGGTGTTGGAGATGGTTGGAAGAAAGTTAGGGGCGGCCAAACCAAAACGTAGCATCAGTGCTTGAAGTCACTAACTTGTAGTCCGAGCCATGTTGGTAGATGCAGACTACTTGGTTGGGGTCCGCGTGACTATTGTAACCAATGGTTGGAGACTCTTGGTGACATGGCTCAGAATCGATCACAATGGCGTCGGTGTATACACTCTCTATCTTCCCTTAAACTAAGAGATTAAAATTGCTTCATATCTTTCTTTCTACGAACTAATTATTTCTTCCTGTACTATATCCTTATTGCAATCTTTCTTTTTATATATTACCACCTCTGAATTAACTACTTTTATGAATCCAGTGTCCATTTTGTTGTGTTAATGAGGTATGACAACTTGGACCGATGCATATATGTGCCTGGTCCTACGTTGTAGCTGACTGACTGAGTATCACAGCTCTCACACATATCAAATGAAATGTGTGGCGCATATGTATTTGGTGCCTCGCTGTGGCAATATCTATGTGTTCAAATAAAAATGGTGCCTCCTGGTAGGATTCAATAAGAACACCGATATTTCATCCAATAATAAACTTCAGGACTTAATAATTGGTGTTACGCCTACAAGTGAGAGTTTGCAGAAACTGACTATATGTTTAAGACCTGTAGTGAGTATTTAGAAATCATGGCGATACCAAGCAGTCAGACGAACAGGTATATGCTTGATTGTCTCGTAAATAAACCATAAACCCAGAATCTAGAAATCCAATGTTGATGAATAAGAAGTTTCGTTTGACTAAATACCCCAATTTGAAGTAAAACGACTTGGAAGACTATATGCTATCCAGTTAGTTGAGTGAATTTCGATGTAGAGTATTGTACCCAGACGTTGACTCGCCAAGCAGCTAGCCAATCACTCATCACGATTGCCAGCATACCAGAATGCGTCTAACATGTGAGAACTGAGTTAGTGATGCGCCTCTCCGAACTCTCTCAAAATGAGTGCTTAAAACGCTTAACTATCTCCTTCTTATCTCAGAAAGAACCCAGGCTGAACATATATTGACGTTCTGCATCTTAAATAATGATTGCAGAGTTCACCTTATTATTCAGTCTTCAGTAATAAGGATAGTAGGTTGATGGACCTGTATTAATCCTGACGCACTGCTTTCCAGTGAAGGTCCAGCTTCTCCTTGAAAGTATTCACTGATGGGGCTGATACCACTTGTTCGGGTAAGGCGTTCCAGTCATTGACTACTAGATGAGAAAAACGGGACCCCACTTTAAGTTTATTAGATCGTGGTTTATGAACTTTCTTGCTATGACCGCGGAGATTATTAGTGCTGGAGGGAGCAAAAAGATAAGACATATTAACACCCAAATAATAATTAAAGATACGAAATGCCAGTATAAGGTCACCTCGTGTCCTACGGTACGACAAGGGGAAAAGATTTAGGCGTTTTAAGCGCTCATCGTAAGGGAGTCTAGAAAGACCCTTCACTAATTTCGTTCCCACACGCTGGACACGCTCAAGGGAGTTAGCATCCTTTACTAGACACGGGCTAGCTGCTTGGATACAGTACTCTAAATGTGGTCTAACATATATGGGATATAAAATTCGAAACGTTTCCTCGTCGAAGTGACCATAACGCACGAAAACCTTTGACAGTGGCTGCTTTGCAATGCGTAGTTGTTTTTAAATCATGACTTAATACTACTCGTAAGTCTTTATGCTCTTGAATGCATCGAAGAGGTTTACCCTCGATAGTGTAACGGTAACTATTACCGTGGCCGATGTGCATTAGCACACTCTTCCTAGCATTGATATCTAAGCCCAACTCTCGAGCCCATCTAACTAAATCGTCTAAGTCAGCTTGAAGATCCAGATGATCAACCGCACTTTTTATTGTTCTCCAGATTTTTACATCATCCGCAAACAATAATGTCGACGAACTAAGTAACAGCGGTAACTCATTAACGTAGGGAAGGAAGAGCAGAGGGCCTAAGATGGTGCCTTGGGGTACACCACTCTTGACCGGCTTCCAATCGGATAGCGTTCCGTTGACTCTCACTCTGTCTGCGGTCACATAAGAAATTTCCTATCCACTCATGCACAGTACCTATTATTCCGAAGCTCGTGAGCTTCTGCATAAGACCTACGTGTGAAACCTTGTCAAACGCTTTGCTAAAATCTATGAATATCACGTCGACAGACAGACCGTTATCTAGGGCTGCTGTCCAATCCTCCCTCGCAATAAGCAAGTTAGTCAAACATGAAAGCTTGTTACGAAATGTACTAGTCTCACTATTTTGGGGGAAAACTTCGTATATTTCGAGGAAGCCGCTATGGAAAATTTTGGAAAAATGGTTCAAAAACGTAATAATTATTACGTAGTATATACTACTGAAGACCGAAGGATAAAGATTCAAGGCGAAGTTGTAAGCTTACACCATGTAATCACAATTTCAGTTCTTGAAAGCTAACAACTGGTCGCTTACAAATGTTAACCAGTTTCTAAAAACAAGAAGTGAGTTTCAGATAAATTTTCGGGCAAATAAAATAAACCGTAATATATCTTAGTTGGATCTGTAATTACTTATTATTATCTATATACTTGATTTGGAGACATAAACTAAGAAATATGAACCCGCCTCAAAAGAACTTGTCACAATCAGTTCATTAGCGTTCGCTGGTCTGACCTTGAAATACGGTATAGCTTCAAGCCTCAAATTTTTCCGCGATAGTAACGTATCCTGTTGAAATATCGAACCGATCTAAGCTAAATAACCATTAAAAAGCTGGAATCACCGGAAGGCCGTTCTATCGTGATATGAAACTGCTTGTTTCATGAGATTTTCTTCTGGATAGTAATAGAACGTTCTTGTTTCAAAGAAGATTAGTTCATAAGGTGTTTCTTCAGAATGTAAAGCAGAAAATTGCTGGTTAATCGTAGCATAAGCTAATGAAGAGTAACACATGGCAATAATCTCAGAGTACCTGAGAAAAATCATCCATCTTCTACTCCTAGTACCGTCACAGACATCCTTCTTTGGAAACGTTTCGAGAGAGACATATCTATGCAAATATTTTGTGGGAGATTTTCCGGACTCAATCTTGATTAAACACAGAAAACGGTTGTGAGTAGTCCGCGAGTCAGATTTAAGGCAGAGGTCCAAAGACCTGTGTTGCCTATTTTTTAGAATACTTCTATGACCGTCTAGTACTCTCCTGATTGAGTCAGTTGAAGGTGTATATACCACTGTTTTCGATAGTAGGTCCAAAGTTGATTACTTAGTGAGAAACTGCACATCCCAGACATTTTGCTTGTTCTTGAATTTGTGAACACGCCTACCATGTCTTCTGATATATCTAGTGGGAAAGAAGAGGTTCGAATTCACTTCTTATAATCCTATAATCCAAAACGGAACACACCGGTCTACGGCAAGACGAGGTAAGAAGATTTAGCTTCCCGGACCGCTCTGCATGGTAAGCCTCAGAATTCCGGAATTGTAGTTGTCCTCCATGCTGTTTCAAGGATGTTCGAGTCAACTCATAAACTGGATCTATTGGCATGAATACGGTCCCCTGTTTTGACTCTCATAAAAGTTGTGTATACTATGAAGAGCATATTTGTATCCAACTTAGTGAATATTTATCTCAACCCCCATAAGTTTTCAAACATTCTGGCTGTGCTCACGAAGCAATGAGCCACGGTCTTGATGCCGAGATTCATTATTGCTCCTAGATCATTGCTACACGACAATAAAGTCATGAATTCCTCCCGACATTGAGATCACTTCTGTTCCTCTGTCGAGTTTCCACGCAGACACACGTCAGTAGACAACAGTCACAATCCGGTCTAGATAACCAGAAGGTCTACGTCACCTTGTAGTGGACGAGCATCAGCACAGCGGCCTGTTTGAGTATCTAGGCCACTTGTTCCTGTCATCTTATTATCTGTTTTTCATTTTTTTCTAACACTTCGTTTTGTCTATTAATCGATAATCTATACAGGCGCGTTTATGAGAAGCCTACAGCATTTCGTTGCACATGTTACGAAAAAGTACAATAAAAACATTACGGTGGTTGTCAATATGCGTTAAAATGAATGAACGATAATCCTATGTCGATCCACGAGCTTTTAAATTCTAACTGCCGATCACTAGTTAACAAGGTGAACTACCTTCAGTTCATACTCTGTCAGAATATGTACCGTAATTGTAGTATCATCACAATTCAAGAATCTTGCTTAAATGATTTACAGGACGATTGTTTAATATCACCACGTGATTTCAAAATTTATTTTCGGGACTGATCAAACAATAGAAAGAGGTGTGGCGGAGGTATAGCTATGTTTGTAAACGTGAACTGGCGCCGATCTATTTCTGCGTGTTTCAAGATTTGAAATGACGTCATCGACTGTCCAACCTTAAGATGCCATCCAAAACATCTTCATAAGTGAAAGTATATTTAACAATATATATTTCTGCATGTACACACCATATTTACAGCCACGATGTATAAATTACAACATTTGTTGGTTCACAAAATGCTTCCAAACTTATTAAGTTTGTAGTTGTTATAAAGTAGACTCGTAGAGCGCCTGCTGTAAGCCATGACCTTGAGGAGACGCATACGTCAAGTTTGTTCCAGACGTCAGACGTTTCCTAACTGTGCCCTCAGAGCAAATTTCTGAAGAAAAAAAGAGAAGTAGAGGAGCAGCAAGGCAATTGGATATGAACGCCAAACGTTGCTTAACATAGTGTAGTAGGACGGACAGAGGTATAATAAATTAAAATAAATTCATATTATGTCTTGTTAGAGTGAAATGAAGTCAGAGGCTCCATATTAGAGAATGTGGTAATAAAGAACAATGAGTTGTGTCGTTTAACAAGTTGGAGTAAGCTCACATGAAGGAAGGGAAGTCAAGGTTGGTACAAGGAAAGCGGTTTATTAGAAGGGAGTGTGTATATAGAGGGTGAAGTGTTAAGAAAGAGTACACTCTTACATCAATTCGAGAACGTCAAATATAGGAATTACTCAGGAGAAAATATTCAAAATCTGAAAAACATATCTCGTACGGCTGACTGGGAATTATTTACAGATGACTCACTGGAAAACACTACAGATGTTATCAGTTGTTACCTTAAATTCCTTTTTTGATATTTGTTGTCCCACTGGAACCATTTTTGTAAGTTTGATTGACTTACATCTTCACAACTAAACCGATTATTGAGGGTAAAAGACACTATGTACATGGAGAAAAATTCTATTGAAGTTTATAATCTAAATGTTCTAATAAACCCAGAGATTAGACGTCTCAACCCTATGTTTACTCAAAAAACTCCTGTCTTGTAAAAACTCTCTCAGTATATGAAAACTATTTAAATAACTTATAAGTGATGGGAACATTAGAAGCGAAAACCAGCTGAACCCTTGTTACTTAAAGAAGTCTTTTGTACGTCAGTCATCTGATATATGCTCCCTACATCCACAGTTTTGAAGAATAGTTGTGTTCCTAGTTTCACTAAAACCGATGTCCAAAAATGTTTCTAGTCATGTATTTCATCTCGATGTTTAGGACCTGATCATATCCTAAAACTTCTTTTTAAGAAGTGTACTGATGTTCTTTGTTGTCTTTCTCAACTAGTCTCATACCGAAAACGTGGAGAAAGATTAATATAATCTCTACACCTAAGAAAAAATCTGGTGATAAAAATGTGAAATTTAGACCCATAGCAATAACTTCACCTTTCCTAAAAACAATGGGAAAATTATTCTATTATTATTATTTGTCAAATATGCGGATGATCTCAGTGTGTGAACGCAGAGTTCTCCCTATGTACATCTCATATAAATGAATGATTTGTTGTCTCGTATTAAATGTTGGTCTGTTGTTAATGGTCTCAGACATTATCCATTTGAACGTCAAGCTGTTAGATTTAGCATGAGACATGAACGGCATCTAAACACCATTTTGAGATCCTATAAGGCTTGTGCCATTGGAGACTCTATGATAAACACAGTTTCGAAGGTCAATTATCTTGGTGTTACCTTTTCCCCTGGTCCCTGTTAGCCTTCTTATGTTTTACTGTTATCATAGGAAGTTTTCCTTCTGACTTTTACGTTAAGAGGCTGCATGGTCTTGCGATTAATCTTCATTTACACTAGCAACTTTTAGATTCCTGCATGTTACCTATTATTCTTTACTGTTCGCCACTATTCTTTCCCGGTTTTGGAGAATAGATTTCGCTATATTGCGGGGAGGACTAAAGGTAGTTAGCAGTGTGTGTGGTGAATCTTCTGAGATGCCATCCAAAACATCTTCATAAGTGCAAATATGTTTATGTTACCAGCATCTACGTGAATCCAGACTGTACATCTGTAGAATTATGGTCTACTGTGATATTAGTACACTCTAATAATAGACCTAATCCTAAAATTATAGACTTATCATGATATAACTGCCTAATCTATAAGAAGCTACATCATCGTCTACACCAACTCACTGTATCTTAACAATTACCAATATATGATGGAGAACATGGTTAGGCTAGAGAAAGAACAATATATTTAATATGCATAGAAGATATGAGGTAACATTCAGTACGGATCACGCCTGCATGGCCGCGCCATACCATTCGATCAACCCCAAATTCATTCCATACATTCTTTCCGCCTTCTCCATTGTTAGGTATTTCTCCGCGTTAAATATTGAATATCCAGTTTTTGAGTTGTATCGTGTTCAGCTTTGGGGATTGTATGGTTATGGTCCAATGCCACTACACATCATTTGCGCTATCTGCTTTCGCTTATGAATCCACTGAATACGCTGTCACTGCATTAATTGATTCAATTACAGTTTTATTTGAAGATTTCGATTCATGTGACTGAAACTTTCTTACATCACTATGGACCTACAAATGACGCTTTCAGTACTCCAGTGTGTAATGCTTTTAAGCCCGGCTAGTTATCATGTGATTTATTCACTAACCGAAATACGACTCCTGTACTATACTAACCACTGATAATAATAATAATAATAATATATTTCTGCAGGTCTGATCAGTCTGGCGTCCTTGTTGGTCCCTTGCTCGCCTAGCCGTTCCAGTTGAGTCCAGAACACTAATACAGCTTCTACTATGAGAATCATTTATTTCAGAAATACTGGGTTTATATATCAACCAAACAGACCGCAACGCACCATAAAATAGGAAATAACATCTATATACAATAAAGCCAGAAGTGGCTGTGAACGTGGGATACAGTAATTAATAAACAGAGCATAACTTAAGAACAGTAAATCGTACAATAATAATCTATAGGTTAAAATGAACCTTATAATAAGAGGAATATACATATGCATAATTTCGGTCCATTATTAGATCTCAGAGGTTAACCATAATTTAATCTTCACTAATATAGAACATATGAATGATGGTTTTTGATGGGAACATCCACTGACTTTCGATCATCAGAAGATTCCATTTATCTCTACTTTGCTATGAAGATTACAACTGTCCACCATAATGTCACGAAAACAAATTGTCCGCGGTGATATTCACAAATTATTTCAATCGTAACCATTGTTACTGTGGGAGCACGGATAGTGATTGAGATAAGAAGCTTCCACTTCACGTTTTTAGACAAAAGGACTCTTTAAGAGTGCAGCATGTATGAACCAAATAATTTTGTAAATTCCATAAGATTTTGGTTTGGGTACCATATATGCTGGTGGATTTATATGGTGTTCTGCTGATAGTGCTTATT